GCTGCTGCACGCGCTGCAGCTCGGGGTGGGCTACCGGTGCGTGCGCGCGCTGCGCCTCGCCTGGCAGCTGTGCCGCGCCCCGGCCGCCTCCGAGCAGCAGCGGCGCCGCCTCGCCTTCCTCGCGCACGACATCAGCCTCCTGCGCCTCTTCGAGGCCTTCGTGGAGAACGCGCCGCAGCTCGCGCTGCTGCTCTACGCGGTGCTGCGGAGCCAGGCGGCGGAGCCGGCCCAAGGTAGCGCCCCCGCCGGCCGGGGCTGCCCCGCGGCCCCCGAGCCGCCTCGCGCGGACCCTGCTGGGCCAGCGGGGAAGGGGACGGCACCGCCAGGGAGTCCCGGGCGGCTGTGCCCGAGTGTCCCCCACGGTCCCGAGCAGGACCCCACGGGCGCAGCAGGGCCCCAGGGGAGGGTTGGGGGCCGTGCTGGGAGCCGGGGCGCCCCGATTGCGGGAGGCCACCCAAAAGGAGAGCGGAGCAAAGCCCCGYGAGGAAAGGAGGTGCTGGGGTGCCCGCTGGGGTGGGCAGGAGCCTCGGAGCACCGCGATGCAACAGGCCAAGTCAGGCAGCGCTCGGGGCCCTGCAGCGCCTTGGCTCGTTGCTTATCTGCCGCCTGCACGGGCAGAGCGGTGACCTCCGCAGCGCCAGCGGCATCCCGGTGCCTCCCCCTCGTCTGCTGGTGCAGCTGAGCTCGGGGAGGGGGGACATCTCCTGCGAGCAGGGCAGCACCGACTGGCCCATGGGGAGAGCAGGAGGCYGAGGACGGAGGAGGAGCAGCAGCTCCTGCAGCGGGAGAGCCGTCCTGGGCCATGTGCGACGGGGCGGCGTTGGGAGCGCAGTCAGCGCCGGGGGCGGGCGCCGCCTCAGCCTGCCCCGCTGCTGTGTTTGCAGGTGTGGGCATCTGCACCGCCGCGCTCTGCGTGACCTGGTCCCTGCTGGACTATCACCAGGCGCTGCGCTCCTTCCTGCAGGACAAGCACGAGCTGAGCCTCCGCTCCTCCTTCGTCTACTTCCTGTGGAACCTCCTGCTCCTCTGCCCGCGCATCCTCGCCCTTGCCCTCTTCGCCTTGTGGTGGCCCTACGGTGTCGCCGTGCACTTCCCGCTCGTGTGGCTGGCCATGTTCCTCTGGGTCACCATGCAGGGCACGGACTTGATGGAGTCGCCCGGGCCTGAGCAGCTCTACAGAGCCGTGGTAGCAGTGATCCTCTACTTCAGCTGGTTCAACGTGGCCGAGGGGCGCACGCTGGGCCGCAGCGTCATCTATCACAGCTTTATGCTGGTGGACAGCATGCTGCTGGCCGCGCCATGGCTCTGCTGCCACCCGTCTGCCGATGAGCACCCCTACCTCATCCCCGTGGTCCTYGCCGCGCTGCCCTGCTACCTCCTGGGGCTCGGCGTGAGGCTCGTCTACTACAAGTGGCTGCATCCCAATGTGCGGGCGCAGCGCCCGGGCGCCGCCGACGAGGTGGATGCCGGAGCGGTGGCTGAGGGGCTGCAGGGCTCCGCGCCCGCCCTTGTGAACAGGCGAATGCAGAGGCTGGCCCAGGCCCACTTCTCAGTCTCCYTGTGGGGAGAGCGGAGCCCGCGCGATGGAGCAGCTGCCACCGACACCGTGCTCTGAGCTCCGGAGCTGCAGGCAGGCTCTCTGCGGCCCTGCGGTGGTTCCACGTGCTGGGGAGATGTTCTCAGTGCCTCCGAGCGCCTTGGACTGCTCTTCTCAGCAGTTGGGTGTCGTGGGAGGTTGGATGGGTGCAAAGCTTGGGTGGCCGGAGGTGCCCAGGGTCCTGCGGCCACAGCAGGGCTCCTGCAAGAGCCACGTTGCTAATGGTGGCTGCAGCACATGGCGAAGCACAATCACAGCAACCTCTTTATTTATTATTAGTCTTTTCTTAAAAAAGGTCTTTTCTTAAAARAGAAAAAAATACCCACGGCATCTCAGTTTGTCCTTTGTTTCCGTGTCTCTTCCTCAATGCCCGCAAGAAGCTCCGTTCTATTCCATTCCATTCCCGCCCTGCCCCCTGCAGCGGCCTCGGCCCGGGCTGCTTCCCCGCCGTTTATCCACCCGTAGCCTTTAAGGACCGTGTTGGACAGGGACGGTCCCAGCGCGCGGCTGCCCCTTGGGACCTGCCGCCTGCGGCAGCAGCACCCTGAGGCCGCGGTGAGAACAAGCAAGTCGGGTGWCGCTGTGGGGAGGAAGCAGCGGGTCCCCTGCAGCCAGGAGCTGCTGCCGACAGGAAGAGACCAGAGCACTACAGCAGCGGCTATAGAAAATAAAGGCTTTATTTGTTTCCAGTTCACAGGAGAGTTCCCGTTACACAGAACACGGACGGGTGGCGGCAGCACGGCCGGTAACGGCCCCACGTGAGGACAACCCTCTCGCCACCGCCAGGACCGGCTGCTCTCTGGGACGCTCTGGACCGAGGGCGACGCAGCTGATTCCACCAGGTTGCCAAAGAGGGCAACCAACCAACCACCCTGCCCAGGGAGAGGCCCCAGTCCCCCCTCCTGCTGCTCCGGGAACGGGGTACCCGCAGAGCAGCAAATCACCCCGGTGCGGATGCTGCTCCCGCCCCGCAGAGCCGGGGAAGCCTCACAAACTGCCACGGTAACTTTTATTTGACAGAAACACAGCGACAAAAAAAAGAAAAAAAAATACCATCCACCTCCTCTTAGAAAAGTATTTTACATACATTCAAGGAGACAGCGTATAAATACCAGTATGAAGTGTCTCTGGCTGCAACGGTTTCGCACGCGGCTGGAATCCTGCCTCCAAGCAGCCCTGCAGCCTCTGTGGGGAGGCGGCAGCGCGGGGGCCCTGGGGGCCGCCCCGCAGTAAGGCACAGGCTGCGGCGCAGGGGCACGGGGCTGGCGCTGCCCCCGCCGCGGGGGCTCCTCCGGGGGCCTCCCGAGCGGCTCCCGGGCCCACGTGCGGAGCTGCAGCCGCGGACGACACCGCAGCAGAGTCCCGGCACGGCGGCCACCGCGGCCGGCTCCCACCTTCTGCTTCCGTGCAGGAGCGGGAGCAGCGCTGCCCTCGGCGCCAGGCGCTGCTGGCTGCCACATCACAGTGTCCTCCCACAGGAAGCCCCTCGCAAGAGGGGTTTCCTTTTAAATACTTCTAACTATGTAGTTAGGCTACTGCAAATAGGAATACACGGAAAATGGAACCTGATTCTATTTAAAGAAACTCGCTTGCACATCTGGAATGAGGAAAGCAGAGGTGAAGGTGAAGTGCCATGCCTTTCTTCACAATATCTGTGAGCTTGCGTAGTCCCTTGAATGATTCCAGGGCCAACCGTTCACGCCAGCACTGCTGCCCACGGTGCTCTACTGCCAGTCATGTTCATAGGCCCTTTTCCTTTCCCCTTGTAGGGAAAATCTGCAGCATCTACAGTTGTGGTCAGGTCACAGAGAGGTGGAATTCCATGATCTCCAGCTTGTAGACAGCGCTTGGGGCCATGTGCAGTGTGACATATGGACCAGAAACCCATGAGATAACCAGAAACCCCAGGACTTGCCTCTACAAAGAACTACATATTCCAGAAACATTCCCTTCTCTATTTTCCAGGAATCCCATGCTGTGGAAACTGTGTAAGGAAATCATAATAAGTTAACTGTTTTGAACACTTGGGGAAGGAGAGAGGACACATTTCACAGCAACAGAGGTATTTTTGACATTTTCATTAGTACTTCCCATGGAAAAAAACACAGAAATAAAACCACAATAGCTCTTTTTTGGCTTCATGAAACAAGGGAGGTTCAGCTCTGCCAATAGTAATTTTTTTTCTATAAAAATAAGGTTTTTTATTTACTCGGGTTCTATAACTAAGTTGATTAGAAAGGAGAAGGCTCTTACAAAAACTGCCACTAGTGTCACCCCTCGGGGCAGAAGAGCTTGGCGGCTTCCGCGAGCCTCTTCCTCACACAAGGCACGAGCCCGGCGCCYCGTGACACGGCACCGTGACCGGCCGCTGCTCCTGAGGACGGCGCCTGCTGCCACCTGGACAGTTCGCATCAGCTGCATGTTCCTCACCACGCTGGAAAAGGAGTCCCGGCACGGGTGGGATCGGTGCCTCTTTGGCGCTGCAGAGGGTGGCGGCAGCTGCGCTCACGCCGACACTCCCGCCTCTTACAGGAAGTCTAACTCGAGGGCTTGGTGCAGGGACACAAGGTCGGCGTGACTGGTGATCCTCCAGAAAGGCATGTTGTGCTGTAACAAGATGATGACCACGTTAGYTTTCGCAGAGGGCCACGGCTCTAGGTGGAAGCGCTAAAAGCCAAGGGGCAGCAGAGCCCCGCTGCAGTTCAGCAGCGGGCGCTTGGGAACGCCGCGCTCAGCGCCCACCGCGGCCGTGGGCACCACCAGCAGCTCTCACGTGCACCTCTGCTCGTGCCAGGCAGGGGCAGGACGCTGCTCTGCACAGGCCTGATTGAAATCCCAGGGCTGCATCCCAGAGAAAACCCTTTGCAGGGAAYGCACGCGGGCAACCACGCTGCCGTAGCGCAGGGGAGGCCTGCGGGGACCCCGTGGCGCTCCCCTGCCTTCACTGAGAAGCCCTGTCCAATTTATTTGTTTCTGGCTTGCAATTCAGACCACTGGGTGCCACTGCCTACTGATCTGACTGCTGGCAAGCGAGTCCTGCCTCATTTGGTGCTCCAGAGAAACAGTATTGAACTGATTCTGATTCAAGACATTGTTTTACCAGGACAGCACTACACTAGCGGACTACCAGTACACACCAKCTGCAAACCCAAGCAAGAGCAAAACGCAAACATAAAACCATCAAGAGAGTACTCCCTAGCTTCATGAAGTGAAAGATGTCTTCTGCATCAAAGGCAAAGTCTACTTTGCTCCTCCTGGCTTGAGGAGGACAGCCCTGGAGTGTCCCTGCAGAAAAAGGCTGCTGCTGTTTCTGCATCAACTCCTCCCGGGGTGCAGATTGAGCCACCCACCTGCTTAGCTGCAACCTCTTCATCGCGGCCGTCTCCAATTACCACGTAGGTGACCTTCTTTCCAAAGCGTGACACGATCCTCTCAAAGCAGCTCTCCTTACCTGCCACAAGACAAGTCTGTTAAAATCACTCTTCGGAAGACAGAGGGCTGAACTGTCCCCTCTTCCCCATACRAGAACACAAGCCCTTACCTATTTTCGTAGCACTATAAATATTCTCAATAGGGAACACTTCGCCCAATCCATAGAGGAGAACTTTGGCAAGAGCTGGCACTAGCTGGGTGGTTGTGATCAGGATGTTCACACAGTTTTTTCTAAAAGAGAAATGAAAGAAAAACACAATTGTAAAAAGAATAACCATATCCAGTGGAGCAAAGGGTGGCTCTGGGTAGCTGCTCAGTGTTTCCAAGGACCATACACTCTGTTTCCCTGCTTTCTAAACCTTTTAGACCAAGATTTGGCTATTTTTTTCTTTGACCACTGCTCAAAGGGAGCACAAAAGAGAGAAGCTCTTCCTTTSACTCCATCATGCCTTTACACAGGTACATAAGTAGCCTTTCTGCCCTGCAAGCTGCCCTTCGTACCTCTTAGAGGAACCTGAGCCTCTCCTACCACTATGACCTTCTCTTCTTAAGTTTTTCAGATGAACTTATACCAGTCACTGGCTGAAGAACACCAAAGGAGGTCTCCATACAGAAAACCAAACAAAGGTTTTTTTCCTTCAAAGTCAGGGAGAACTACAGGAAATGACTCATTTGGACTTTGGACAACTGCTTTTGGGAAGRAAACACTCTTTGGAAATGCAAAAAAAATCAGCATATACTGTTTAAGGTGACAGCAATTTACACAATTTGCATCAGCCTAAAAAGACTATCTTCTTTTGACAAAATGAGGGCTGCTCTGAGATCTCCAAGAACACAAAGGTCTTTAAATCCATTCAAAAATACCTCACTGGAGTGGAAGAGCTGAGCAGCCCCTAGCAAGTGCAGTGCTGGAGTCTGAGAGGTGGTRGGAGGCAGTGGAAAATCATAGCCTCAAGGTGGCTGGGGTGGCTCCATCCCGAGGTTCTCAGCTTTGGCAACTGGCCCTTGAAGGCTTTGCCATGGTCTTGCAGAGAGGCTTTTGGGCTTGCCTTTCCCACAGGATAAAGTAAAATTCAAATAACAAATGATGACTTAAGCAAACTGGACACATATAAGTCCACAGGCCATGATGGGCTGCAGCCACAAGCGCTCAGGGGTTGGGTGAGCAGTGGCTGGTGTCACTGCAAGGCCACTCCAAATCACCTTTGAAAGGTCATGGCAATCAGAAGGGAGAAAAGCCAATGTCTGTCTAGCCTTCAAAAAGGGCAAGAATGAGGAGCCAGGGAACTGCAGGAAMGGCAGCCTCAAACCGCAGGAAGTGGTGGAGCAGCTAATCCTGGGGATCATTTCCAAGGACATGAAGGATGCGACCTCAGTTTCCAGAAGGCTTCCAGCACAAGCTCCCAGAACATCCTTCAAGGAGAGCTCCGTGTGCAGGCCCGTGGCCGGCAGTGATCAGGACCGACCTYCCTCCTGTCCAATTTGCTCATCGCTGAGCAGGACGCCGGGCCCGGGGCCCCCATGGCAAGCAGGATCCCAAACTGGAAGGAACTGCTGACAGAGCAGGGCGCTGTGCCAAGGAACTGTCTGCAAATCTAGGGGAGAAGAGCCCCGCGCTGCCAGCTTCCATACCTGGACTGTATAAGGAGCAGGGACTTTAATGCAGTTTCTAGCCAGGAATCCGTTAGCACTTCTATATCCGTTCTTAGTCGCTGGAGGGCTTCCCTCTTCTGCGGGCTAAGGAGGCCTGGAAAGGAAGCAACAACAGGTTTCTTATTTGAGCTGCTAAATCTAACAGAGATGGTCACAGCTTTATCCAAGAGCTGCCGGTGTCCTGCAGTAAGTAACACTGTGCTGAGGCAGCCTGAAACCTCAGACTGTCTGCAGGCAACGGGAGGAATCGACTTCCAGGCACGCACATGAGCCTGGACACCAATCTGTGATCCTGCCTTTGCAGAATGGCCCAGATSTTTTTCTCGATTTGGAACTATTTCTTACAATACACAGGATGAAYTGAATTTTTCTTAGACACGCTCTCGTAGTGATAGATGCTATCAGAAGACACAGCAGAAGGAACTACTGAATAAACCCCTTCGGACTTTCTGCTCCGCACATGCCTGAAGACTTTTCCCATTTTAATGCCTTTCAGATACCACTGTCTGAACACCAAGGGGCCTTATATAGACCTGAAAAACTCTGCATCCATCGTTGCCACATGTAAAGCACGGAATAAGGATACTGCTCCCTACYAGAACTGAGGTTAACCGGGGCATACTGAAACACAGACTTATACAGCCATTTAGGTCTCAATTTTAAGAGCAGTATGGAATCTTTCACAAAAAAGTAGCAGACAGTGTCTTCATCAGATCATTCTCTTAAATACAGGACTAATTGTCTTTGTCTATATAACTTTTAGACAGCAAGAGACTGCCATTCAGTTTTGGAAGGAAGACTTGTTGCGTATTTCTTGCAACCTCCCTTAGAAATGGCAATTGCCCACTACATTCAGAAACAGCAGAACCAGATTCCCCTTGAACTCCCTGGAGAATTGCTCTTTTCCAGCACGAGGGGAATGGGCTTCAGCAGTCATGCATCAGCCTAGGGGAACACTCACCTCCAACATTACTTTTATATTTGTCATAGATCTCCCGTACCCTGCGGTAGCGGAACGCCAGTTTCCTCATCCAGTCCACGCCGCCCTGGACCCCTGYCGATGAGCTGTGATTCGCATTATTTCCGGAGCCGCTGAAGCCGTCCGTGGAGAAATTGTAGTTGCTATGGCAGAAAATCAGATCTGTTATATGTGCAGGGGTAGCAGGATCCCTACAATCTGCCTGAGTTGCAAACTTGAGCTCTGAGCATCGCTAGGAAAGCCCTAGGGAGAGGAGCTTTGCACAGCTAACCTTGCACTGCTTGCAGTGGAGCCTTCTCTGATCAGGGAGCTCTAACAACCAGCCACGCTTGCTGCTCATTCTAAACAGTCCAGAATGTCTTAAAATGCTTTGAAATATATTGATTCTGCATCGTCCACTGCARAAGCTTCCTTTCCTCTTTGACTGCTCAAATACTTTTGACTTACAGGTTCCCAACACACACACAAGGGCATCTGTTTTTCCATCACTGTGTCCTGAAAAAGCTTCTTTAGATTTTTATAGTTTGAGTATCAGATTAAAAAGATTTCTTTTTAAGTCTTTTGCCCCTCAGTTTTCTTTTGTCACATGGCAATCCTGTGGAAAAGTTCTGTAAAAGCGACAAACTCTGCACCTGAGCTTGCTGACGTGGCAGGCAGTCCATGCCTGCTATAAACAGTCACGCTCACCCTCGAGATCTTCTGGTGGAACTCCATACTTTGCCTGCCAGAAGTAAACCCTGTCATGGGTCTTGCCTATCTCTTGGAGAATTAAAGAATTCAAATTTAAAGAATTAAACAGTATAAATACCAGAGGGATGTCACAAACAGCTCTCTCCCTCATTTGAAGGCAAAACCATTCTCATTTTGTTTTAATTCTGTCTCAAAGACCAAGTTGAGATGAAAAGTTCACCTTCTTTAAAGTGAAGCTCAAAAACCACAGGAAGATGCTATGAGGCAACAAGCTCTATAGTGATTTGCACAAACAAATTCTTTGGGACGTGATARAACAGCTATAAACACAGCAGCCCAGTTAGTGTGAAGTCATAATTTCTGTGTGTCACCTCCTTATGAGGCCACCAGGGCCTTTCAGACACCTCCTCCTTTCCCTGGTCAGGCAGGGAGAGGCAATTGCTTACACATACATAAAGAACTCAACTAGGTGTCAATTATGTCACGTCACTGAGCACACAGGTAATGTTTGACAGTAGAGAATTTAATTCACATTGTAATTCCAAAAGTCTTAACTTTTTGTTGCTTTTGAGAGAGAAATAGTTCAGCTACTTATCCCCTGCCCAATGCCTACACTCCATCCTTAACCACATTTGGGTTTGGAGGTGTCCCCCAAGAGCAGATATCATCAGCCCTACATTTCACGCATTCCTCAGTACACCACCTTAAATCCTGGCCATTGTCATCAGATGTCACATCATCTATGTGTACCTGGTCACACTCCTGTGTAAGGTAAAAAACAAAAAAGAGAGAGAAAAGGCCACACTTGTAATCCAGAAACATGGTGAAATTTATAGCTTAAAAAAGTGATGTGAGATATATCTACATATACAAAGCCTCATGCTTCCCAATAAGAACAAACACTATGCCATATTGCCTCYGCAAACATATGGATAACYTGCATTATCTTTGTTTTCCARTGCTACCTTTTACTTCCCARCACCTGCAGGTCCCTCTCAAGACCRTTATTTGAATTACCAGAAATGTCGGGGAAAAAAGCGTATTTCTATGACATTTCTGTTTGTCTGCAAAAAAGAAAATGCAATACCTGATAAATATGACAGTAAACATGTCAGTAATCGCCTTTCCAGCATTTTTTTTAACTGTTTTTTGTTTTGTCGAGGCAGGGATCTGACTTCCACTAGCACATTCACAAAGTTCAGAGCTGCAAATGGCCACAGAAGAYGAAAAATTGAAATGAAAAATTCATTTGAGTTTCTTTCCACATTAATAGAAAACTCTTGTCCCAGAGTTTGCCCTRCCATGAGCCTACTCTTAACCATCACTGTCCATAATCTGCTGAAGCCTGTGAATTTTATTAGGTTCCTGTGTCCACGTTGTTGGACTTGAATATCAAATAAGACAAGAGTGTGGGGAAATCCACTTTCTGTGCTGCAGAGGCAGCTGCACTGCTTTGGGACTGCACCTTTTCCTCACTTTGTCCAAAGGAAGTGATGCCATGCAGCTTGTGTAAGGCTTTCCACCATCAGGAACTCCACTTTTCTCGGGAATTCTGCTTTGTCAGAATAGATTTGCTCCTCTGGTGCCTCAAAACTATCACATCACTATCTCACAGAAGCTCTTTGTTTGCCAGATGCTGCTCCCTTGGCATTGTCCAGGCACAGCCTTATTTGTACCCCATTTAAGACACTCAGCCCACTGGAACAGACTGTTTCTGATGATGTTGCCTGGCTGCTGCGAGGCCACGTTGACTCCTCCTGACCTCCTCAGTGTGTAAGCGCTCTTGTTGATGGAAGTGCAGCGCTCACAGCTGTTTCACAGGCAGCATCACCTGTGCTGCCTGGGTGTCAGAAACTGGACTGTGTTCCTGGCTTTGCCAAAGCTCTGAGAATTGACATATTCAAGGTCACCCTTGTACCCACAGCTCAGTGCTCCATTTCAAAGCAGGGTGAGTGGAAGCAAAGTGCTTTCCAGCCCAGAAGGAAACCATAATGTACCCTTCTTCCTACAGGTACGAGGAGGAACCTGTAAGAGAAGAGAGTTCCCGGCCTTACCCATCTCCAGGATGCTAACACTGTGCCTCATGTTTTGGGTAACAAAGAACATGTCTGTGACCCAGCTGTGCACAGGAATCTTGACAGATGCTCTTAAGTTTCATCCTTAAGTGGCCGTGAAGCACATATATCCTCACAAACTCTCAGTGGAACTCAGTTAGGTAATTTTAGACATTTTGCCTTTCAGAAACATGTGCCACATACCTCCAAGTCATTGAAAAACAGGTGAGTATCAGCTACTTCAAAAATCATCTCCTCCATGGATAGGCCTGAGCCAATCACTAGAGTTGGATCCTGACAAAGTAAATAAAAAACAACATATATGTTTAAAAAAATATGTAAATAAGTTAAGGAAGAGGGGAGGGCAGAGAGAGAGAAAGAAAATGTAAATTCACCAGGTTAAAAGCAAGCTGTGACAAAATCTAGATCCATTAAGTTACATAGAACTTTCAGTGCATATGGTATAATTTCATCTGGTGTCCTTCAGTGGTTCAAATCTCCCTAAAGTTTTAAGCAACTAAATCAAAAAAATCTACATTCTGATAATATATTGACTCAAAATCATAAGAAAACACTTCCGTAGTCAATGGTATGGACTGCTGCACTTTCAGGAACAACACAGACGAAGTATTAGAAATTTCTGAAAATATTTTGGAGGAGAAAATAATGCTTATTTTCAGTGTGCTTTATGACCTCATTAATTTCCAAAGATGATAAAGATAGCTTGACATTTTAAGACTTGGATTATTAGGCTGGAAGTCTTTACAATATTCRTATCCTAGTTTTTTTTAATAAACCCAAATTTAGCATCCTCTTGCTGACATGGTCAACAAATAATATGCACCTCCACACRCATTTAATCCAAAATATAATATAATTTTCTATTCCTTTTCCTAAGAGTGTTTACTTCCGCATGAGAGGAGATTTTTCTTCCACAGATAAGACAATATTACCTTGCCATATTTCTGAGCATATGACCCAGTGAGAAGTGAATGGAAGATTATTATGGTCTCATCCAAATCCCAYAGAAACACTCGCTGAGGAGAAAATAAAAGCAGGTTAGAGCTGAGATGTTCAAAATATTAAGTTATACTGAAAGAGCCAGTCTGGGGAATTGTTCTGTGTTTAGCTGAAGCGTGCTTTCTGGCAGAAATGAACAACATATTAATTAAACTCTTTCTCTGTAACACTGGAGTTCATATTTGGTATAAGTAATACGTAGCGAAATAACAGAAAATCCTCTTGATCAAAGAGCCAAACTCTATTGATAAAAACCCTCTCAAGAGCTTCCCTTGACTTTACTGACATAAAAGCAAAAATCCAGAGTGTTAATGTTCTTTAAAGTCTTGGTATGGTAAAAGTTCACCATCTGGGTGAAAAGCAGCCTGCTTATCAATGACACCAGCATACAGGAGATATTCCTTTACTAAGGTAAATTAGAGGGATTGTCTGCTGTCACAAATAGTTGCATTAGAGAAAGACTTYGACAAACGGAGAAATGGGACAAGAGAATCCACAAGAGGTTTAGTAAGAGCAAAGTTCTGCATGTGGAGTAGAATAATCCCTTGCATGAGTTCAGGCAGGAAGCTGGAGGTCACGGGAGGTACCACATGCAGTACCAGCCAACAGTGCACTCACATGGTGAGCAAGGTGAACTGCATGCTGGAGTATATCGAGAAGTTTGACCAGCTCACGCAAGAGGAAGAACCATCCTATTTYTCACTGGGAAAGTCACTGCATCCAGGATTGGATGCCCGGTCCAGATGGATGTGAATCAGGGATGATGGAACCAAATTTTTCTATCATCTAGTGACAGATGATATAGGGAGAAAGCTGCAACTTGGGAGATTTGGGTTAGGGAAAGAAAGTCTTCCTCCCCATATGAGTGTGGCAGCTCTRGGACACTTCACTAGAGACATGGAAGGTGTCCAAGTGTGCAGGTTCTCAAGGCTCAGCTAGACAAAGCTACTCTGCTCTAGGGCTGTCCCCACCCAGAGCAGAAGGCTGGACTAGAGACCTCCAGACATCTCTCTCTGACACTGCTGATTTTAATGAGCATGTAAGCTGTGTTTGTCAAGCACCACTGAGGAACTCAGACTGGCTCTCAGACAACACGGTCAGGGGAGTTTCCCAAATTGTCCTCTTCCTTTTTACACGGGGGAAAAAAAGAGGAGAGGCTTTGTACTGCCACACTGTTCTGCAACACTACGGTAGAAAATGAGACTACCACTTGCCTCCAGTTCACTGTCCTGTGAGGAGGACGTGTCCGCTTTCCTCTTCCCCCTGTTCTTCCCAGGGATGTTTTTTCTTGTCTGCTCATCTAAATCTTTACTTGCCGTTGCTTTTGACAAGGAGGGACTTGTGGAKGCATCTCCTAGAAGAAAGAAAGTGCATGGTTCTCATCTCCTCGTGGCTCCAAGCAAACATCCGCACAAAGCTTACACCGTTTGGCCGCAAACCTTCTTTGCTGGACATGCTACCTTGCTCCATTGAAGCAAAATACTTTGAAATTTCATTAGAACAGAAAACATGATCTTTCTGTTTTCTTTAAGCAAACTGCTTGCCCCCATCATTTTGAAACAGATCTGTCTTCACAGTTAAGGTCTTGCCCTTTCAGAGCTATTCCTGGCAGTCTGCCTGTGTTGAGTTGAGTCACCAGGTTTRGCCACCCATTACATCCGCTGTCATAACAGCAAAGACAGACTGATGTGAGAGCAGAGAGACTCAGCTCTCCTTGCGAGGAGCTGACACTGCAGGCACCCTCATGTGTGGGGGACACTGCAATAACTTGCCAAAACACAGTTAAATGGATTGTTTCTTGGCAGAAAGTCTCTTTTTGGCATCCAACAGTTGACTGCATCTAAGAGGTGGCAGTTGCTCCTTTTAGACACAGAAGATACTGTTTYGGAGTGCCTGTAGGACACAACCAATTGTTGCAAAAAAAGATATGTGGGGAGGAGCTGGGGGCACATTCCCACGCTATGGCACACGTCTTCTGAATCACAGTGCTGGCAGATTTCTGATACATAAACTTGGCTGCCCTRTCGTAAGCCCCTGAAGGCCAGTGTGATGATATGACAGCTGAAAGCAAGCGTCACACCCAGGCCAGCAGGCAAAGGCCTGGTCCCCTTTCCCAGCAAAGCCTGCCGAGGTGCAGGCAGCCCCTCCAAGCYGTGCCCGTTACCTGAGGAATGTCTCTGCGCCGTCCGCGTGGGCACCGCGGCGTTCGGCTTCTCCGCTGCATACGTAGTTGTTGCTAGTGCAGCACTGTCTGTGTTGCTGTCTGCTGGTGCTACGACCCCGAAGGCAGAGCTTGGGTAACAGGGCTGGTACTGGCTTTGGCCGAGGATTGTGTACGTGGGATACTCCTGTTGGCAGAAAAGCCCGGTTACGCTAGCATACTTCTTCCACAAAACCTTTTAGATTAAGATTTCTTTATACTATACTATGCTGTCAAAGAAAAACACCAGTAAAAGCACACAAAACTTGAGACTATTTCCCCCTGCACATGCAAGGGAAGGGGAGCTGATGTGACACAGCCACATGAAGTGACCATTTAACTGGTTTCCGCGGGAAGCTGCCCCAGACAAATGAGGATTGTTTTCCCAACGGCCTCTGCAGCAGGTCAGGAATCACAAGGTTTTTCTTCTAGTTCCTTCAAATTAATTCCTAACTGGAATTATTTTCCTCTATGCTGATATGAAAGAAGTGGTGAGTGGATCCCAAGGCATCACTTGTGCACACAGGCCCACTCTGAGTCTGCTGGTGCTGTCTTCAGAAATGCACAGCTTTGTTTTGTGTCTTCCTTTCTGATACCAGATATACTGACAGTGATTAGAGAGCAGCACTGGCCTGGAGCACAACCTAGGCCATGGACAAACAGCCTCTACTCATATTGCTGCTTCAGAAAGYAATTCCTTTGCGTGCTGCAATGAAAGCTCTCCATTTATGAAGACTGTTCATTCATTCAAAAGGTCAGTGAGATCAGTTGGAGCAAAAGCTGCTTTCTTTACAGCTCTGAACAAGCATTATGTTCCTAAAAGAATCTTTTTTTTTTTTTCCCCCTCCCTTTTACAGGGATTTTGCACAGGGCTTCTGCCGCATCCATTATAYTTTCTGCAGTTCTGCCTACATACTTCCTACAAAACTACCATTTTGGAGTATTCCTTTGTGATTCTGTATATCCAGAATGGCAGCTAGCCCCTCACCGGGGCAAGAATAGTGTTCTGGGTTATCCAGAACATATCATGGAAATAAGGAAGAAAAGGGTCTGTCTGCTAGTCACAGGACTTCTAAATTTTGCTTTATTCTAACACCASCAGAAGGCATCTCCTCCACCTTTTCTCTTGGCATACAATCTATGTTTTTAATTTTATTGCCGACAGAGAACAAGGGCATTCAAAAAACTTCTACCTGTAATCCTTCCCGTAAATAGGATTCTAGTTCTAATGCTTCTTCTCTACACAGAAATCTCAACATTTTGGCTTGAAGATCAAAAAGAAGAGTGGCACGGTTGCTTGATGAGAAAGACACAAGCCAGTTTGCTGAGCTACACACTAAGCCCTGTAAATCCAGTACCCGTTTGTGCTTCATTTAAAGCAAGTCACACATTTTGCCTTGTCACTTTTCACTAACGTGTGYGCAAAGGCAAAGGAGAGGTATGTAAACACAACCAAGACAGAGTCTTACCTGTGAGATGCTGGCTACTGCTGACGTGGAAATGTTGACAACAGTGGAGGCTGTGGAGGCTGGACTGGCGTTGGTAGTCGATGCTGCAAGACGAAGAATCACCAGGTTACGCGCTGCGGGTAGGAGCAGTGGCACAGGCACCTCCTGGGCTATGTGCAAGCATCTCTGCTGCCCAAAGGAAGGCTGCATTTCTTTGGAACCAGCAACAGCTTCCTGGGTTTACAGGGGAGGGACGCTGGCACCCTCTAACTTTTAAAAACAGTATTTTTAAGTGTTTCACAAATCTATCTGGAGTTTTTACAATGGAAATATTTTCCTCTTCCTAATGACCCCACAGTCGGAGCTTAACTAAAGTGGCTTAGTTTTATCAAAGGTTTCAAGAAGAAAGCAATCACATTCCGATATTTATTTATAAAGGATGGAAATAAATCAGAATAAATCCATAAGGCAAATATGATTGCTTCTAATGCAGTTCTGATAAAAAAAAATAAGTTTGGCTCCCATTTACAATAGACTAAGCATATTTAGCCTAATTARGTCCAAAAATTTAAGTGCTAAACACATTTCAAATAGAATATAAAAAARGTATATTTCTTCCTGGAGAAATTAAATACCTCCAATTCCCTCTGAGACTACACTTGGTTTGGTGGATGAGAATTTCTGAAATAACTGTTGGGCAAATTATTACAGAAAGATACTTGTCAGCAAGGATTTTAAAATGCTTGATATTCTTTATGTCACTGCACTTGGGGTTTCCAAACACAGCAGAAGCAGCTGGAGCAGCCCTTGGGAACCAAAATCCTTTAGGACGTGGTGTGGTTTCACAGCAACAGGTTTGTTCCATTACAGGTTCCCCACGACGGTCTCCAGGACCCTCAAGAATCATTGAGAGCGACAGTGAGGCAAGCATGAATGAAGCTGTCAAGAGGTGATTTATTTTGTTCAACCTTTCCCCCCGCACTGTTAAACACAAGAATCCCTCTTAGATGCTTAGGAAAAGACCTGCAGAAACCAATAGTATCACCTAGTTTGACTTCACCCACGCTGAGTTCCCCCAAGCCTGAAGGAGTCAAGTTTCCAAAGGGTTCAGCCTTCTGCCCTGGGAAACTGCAAAAGGAAACGCTCCCCACCAGGAGCACTTGGTCAATATATGTTGGGTTTTGGCAATCAAAGATGTTCCCTCACGGAGGAGCTCCTGGAAAGAGGAACTGATCCAAGACCTGTCTCACAAAAAGGAGGAAAAAGGAGGGGGGCGGGGAGGAGGGAGGACAAGGACTGTTTTTTTTAAAAAAGAGGTTTTTAAAACTTAAGAGGTGTATGGATAGGCAGCAAGAGGTGGGAAATGGGAAAGGAGGCATCCCTGCAGATGCAGAAATAAAGGCAAATAATCAAGCCCTGGAAAATGCATCTGAGGCAGAAAGAGCTTGAGGAGTATCCAAACGGAGATGGGAAGGTGCTTTGGGAGAATGGGCAGAAAAGGTGAAAAAGGTTGCGCTACGCAGCAATAATGGCAGGGARGATGTCCAATGTCTACAGCAGTTATGCAGTTATTAACAGGAAAACGCTATTAAGATACTAAGAAACCCACCCACATCAAACAACAGCACAAGAAAAGCCTTTTGTTTCTAAGAAAACCTTCCTTCAACTTCACGCATTACAGAAAAAAAATAAGGCGTCTATCTAAGGTTTTCTACCTGAAAAAAACRACATTTCCTTGGTAAGACATAAAGCACATCTGACCACTCATTAATCTGTAGACTCTAATATGCATAACGTGTTGAAACACAGCTCAGATGGGCCAGTAACATCCTAAATAATCTTGTACCACCGAATAAGCTTCCTCTTATTTTGTTTTGAGAGAAAACTAGCGCTTAAAGCAGTAAGATCTGCTTTGTCAAGGCGAGTACCTGACGAATAGCTCTAGTTAAAAGAAGATGCAATTTCCAGAGCTCATTTCTCATGTTAAATTATGAGTGCAAAAAAAAACAGCTTAAGGATAAGCACCATCACATCAAAGCAAGCTGAGCAAGTGCAAGCGTAACGACACACCAGACTTCCATGCGAGTGCAAGAGAAGCCAAAACCCAGGTTTTGGTGCAAAMTTGCTCCTCTTCACTTGACACTCAGTAGGTCACATCTGCATGTCCAGCTTTCTGCCCCGAGCACAACAAAAATGGCAACAAACTTGAGTGAGTGTGGCCAAAGGGCCACCAAAGAGGCCAAGGAGCTGCAGMACGTGCCCCTTGGAAGAGGGAGGCTTGGGAGGACCCAACAAGCTCCTCACACGTGATGGGAGGACATCAAGAGGATGGAACCAGGCTGTTTTTGCACATGCACAACAGCAGGACAGAAAAGGTTGTAGCTCAAAAGAGGCCACGTTCTGACTTGACAAGAGAGAAGGGGTTTGTCCATGAAGACAGGTAAGGCCTGGAGGTTGCACGGCAAGGTGGCCTCTTTGCAGGCTTCTGAGATCCACCTGGATAAAACCTAACTGAGGAACCTGCTCTCAATCCATTGCCAACTCTTTGAGCAGCAGGTTGAACCAAGGATCTCTTGAAGTCCTTGAATTGCTCTACGAAAATATCGCCCAATGAACAGATGAAGCATTCCTGAAATGCTTCTTAAAAACTACAGATAAAAAGATTTTCACAATGCATCACCTCAAGACAAATGACAAAAATCTACCCTGGAAAATGTATTGATTTGCAAGTATTTGCCATAGGCAATGAGATATCATTATAAAGCTAATTGGTACATTTACTCCTAAAAAAAAATTGCTTTGTAATGTGGTGAAATTCAGCATGTGGCCTTTCAGATGTGGCACTTGTGGAGGTGAGATGACTTGTGGGCTAGTTCTACACTTAGGAATTCCCTTTAGAGCAGACATATCAAGCTGGCAGCCTCACCTACCAAGACAAGCAACGTACCCTGTGTGTGCACATGCATGTTACAGGCGCCCCGTCTCCCTCCAGAAGGGAGCCAGCACCCCACTCTCRCTGCATCTCCTCACATCGTGCTGAGGAGCACCACCACCACCAGAGCTCGAGCTGCAAGCACGTTCCCAGGAGAGGCATGCAGGAACACAACAGGCAGTCCCGTCCCCTTTGCTTCACCTCGTTAAGTCCATCAGCACYGAGTAACCAGCCTGGTGCAGACAGAGGTAATGCGGCAAACACAGAACCAAACGATTTAAACACACACACAGAAAAGACACCGAGCACGAGGAAGCATGCACAAATCTGAAAGAAAAAAGAAAAAAGAAAAAAAAAAAGGAAAAAACGTGCAAGCCTCTCTACTTGTGGAATCTGGACTCAAATGAGGTGGAGAGAGATGCAGATAAAAAACCATGCCAAGTTACCTTCAATGGGATAAGAATAATGTGCTGGGCTGGGTTGGCTTGTGGTTAACCCTGTAGTGCAGGTAAGCACACTGTGCTGACTTGTAGATGGAGGCTGAATTAAACCACTTTCAGGTTTCATACCTGGCCACAGTGCACCTGAATTGGATAAATGGCACCAGTTATAAACAAATCTGCTGGGACCAAGCATCATGCTGCTTCCTCCGATGAAGACTTTGGCTTGTCACAAAAGCAAACAACAAATGACACACGGAAAAACATCGTTTCATTTTCATACTTGGTACTGATGGTCAGGCTGCGCGTAGAGTACAGCTGCTGACAAAAATAGCTGAAAAGGAGAAAATTAAAAACACTGGCAAGACCCAATTTCCAAGGCTTTCAGTTAAAAATCCCTTCCTGTGACAGTAAGATTCAGTGCCACATTGCTATAAAAGATCTGCCCGTCCCTCTGATGCTTGGGCTGAATGGYGCAGCACTGCCAGCCACCTCAGCTATGACCCAGGGAGGTTGGAGTGGGCATCTATTGAAGTTAAGGTCACTCCTTGAATTCCCTGCATTTGGGCTGCATACTCAGAAACAGGTTAAAGTTCAGCCATTCTGATGGACTGACAACAGGGAAAAAGGAGCTAAAAAGAAGGRAAAAAAAGAGGAAAATYTCCTCCTGAACTTTCTATCAGTCAAAGCATTTCAGAAAGCATTTCTAGCATCCCTAGGTGAAAGCACTGGGACTTCAACTCACACAGGCTAGGCAGCTACAAGCAGAATGCAGGTTCCAGCTGCAAGCCCTGAGGATGCAGCCAGGGCTGAAAGGTGCTTGGCGCTGACCTGAGATGCTCCAGTGCTCTCTGCACTCCCATCCTCCCGGACCAGGAGCTGCTGGTAGGAAGGAGGCAAAACTTCCCTTGCAATAAGAGGTGGCAGGGAAAGAGAACTGCTTTTCCATACCAGACTAACAGTGTAGGCAAAGCCTCCAACGAGCACTTCTTTATAGGACTGGTGACTCAAAATCACCAACTGAAGCACAAGGACTAGTACAAATACAAACACTACCTGCCTGAAACACGAGTAGTTAAGGTTGCTGCGGTCCCTTTTGCAAAAATCTTAACCATTGAGACGGGTGCAGGTTTAACGGATGCTCAAATTGTCCCTGGGCTGCTGGCAGAAGGCAAGGAATGAATCTGAAGGATCTACTTAAAAACAAGCAGGAGTGTGAAAGGCAGAGGGAGGAAGAACATTGCCAGGTGGATGTAGAGTTCAAGGCCAGCAAAAGAGCCAGATCATTGTCCATCTTAAACCCATCCAACTCAGTAAGGAAAAGAACAGTACCATGGCAAAAAAAGCCATCTACCCCTTGCTATAGGAGGCCCAGCCGAGCAGTCTCGCTTACGAGACGCCAAGGAAATGCTACAACCCGCCACGAGCAGCAATTCCAGGAGTGCCCTCCATGCCGCAGAATTCAGGTCTGCAACAGCTACGAGACTGGGCATGTAAAGGAACGAAGATGTCACCTGTTAGTCAAACTAAGGCAGCTATCTGTATAACCACATCAGGGTTTTCAATCTTCAGCTTTAAAGTTAGGTCTTTGTTGCTGGTTTAGATCTTTAAGACCATTCTAGTCAGTAAACAAGTGGGAAAGATTTAAGATGACTGTAGGTAGACTGCAGAAACTCCCGAATAAACCATATGGAAAGCAAGCCCTCTAAGGAAGGCTGAGGGAATGGCATTTCTTTAATCTAGAAGGGAAAGCATTGTAATATTCAAATACATAAATACTTTCATCAAAAACAGTGACCAAAATTTCCTTATGATGTGAAGAAGATGGACAAGTAGCAGCAACAAAATTAGATGATCACCCAACACATATAAGTGCCTAATTACTGGGATGGTGAAACTCATGCCTTGTGGTCTTGAGCATATGGCCGTGTTTGACAGACTGCCTTGATTTTCACACATAAACTACATCTTTCTGCTCCAGCTAGACAACATATAATTGCCTTTTTTTTTTTTTTTTTTGGGGGGGGGGGGGTTAAGAAATAGATAAAGTCATCCAAATATCTGGAATAGGTCTCTTGAGAGTGTGCTAAAAATACATGGCCACGTTCTCACCAGCTCAACAGAGATCTTGGGACCAGAAACACAATCTGTAGAACATCTCATATGTACCATGCACATTCAGGCTGCCAAACAGGTAACACAAGACCCATCCTCTTCATAAGACTAAGTAGGTATTAATTACTCCAGTATGGTTTCTGTCACTAKAAGTGTCACCTGCACTATTTTTCCAAGCACTTCACTTGACTAAAAATACAGGGAGTTAATAGCAGATCATGACATCTACCCCAAAGTGTTTCAGTAGCAGGTCATGGTTCAGAAGCTGCTCAACACACAGAGGTTGCTAATGAAGCCAATGGACAATGCTGATCTCTCTAGGTCTTCAGAAGATACTCTGACTGTAACAACAGAAATTAATAGTTAGCTAAATACTCCCAAATACTAGAGCCTTTGAGAAAAAGGAGGGAATCAAAAACCCAACACTGTCTCAAGAGCTCAAGTCTAAATCAGACTCTTAAACCCCTTGGCCTAACACTTTAATATGCATTCTGCATATTTACATAACCTTTAAGAAGATGCCACATCCCTAAGAACCTGCACGGAAGCTGCAGAGCACTGTCCACAACAAACTAATGTCAAATAAACAAAGTAAATGAAACTCTGAAACACTCTCAGAACAGAGTAAGAATGGCAAGACCATGRAAGCAGAGCGTGGATATGCACGAAAAGGGAAGCGTGCTCTAATGACCATAACATGGAGCCGGGCAGGGATTATAGGTAGGAAAGGCTTTTATTGGCCCAGTTAGAAAATTGGACACATTTTTGGACACCTTCACCAAGGGTCTCAAGCAGCATCATGACAAGTCCAACACTAAAATGGCACCAAAGAAGACAAGAAGCAGAGTGTTCACAAAGGCAGTGGACAAACTGCACTCGACACCTCAAGACTTAGGCAGGACCTAGCACTGAATTCTCTGCTCCGATGCAGCTTTCTCTTGGAGGAATAAAGTGGGAGTTCAGAAAGCAGAGCTGATGGAGGAGACCTTTGGTTCTCCAAGATCCCTAAACACAGAATCAACCAGGTTCTTGCCCAATAATAATCCTTTGGTCACCGTTGTGACCAAGGTGGGTTGGTTGGTTTTTCGCTTGTCTTTAAGCTCTTAAATAGGAGTTGGTTTTGATCATTACTGGCTGGGACTGAGCTGGAAATGACGAGGTAGGAAATACCCTTGGACATCCAAACTCCCTTACCTGCTTGAAGAGACCCGAGCTGCTAATGAAGCACCCAATGCTTGGGCCTTGCAAAGCCTTGTGCAYCGCAGTACACTTCCCACTTTATGGAATGCAAGGCTCTCGTGTCAGATACTGTTTCTGGGCATTAATACAGAGCAGACCAAATGGGGGAGATACCATCTGATTAACACCTTGCGTCCCAGCCACCGCAAACCCATCGTTTTGTCCTGCAGGAATCCTCAATCACAAGAAAAGTTTCTTTTTCCGCTAATCCCAGGCATGTGTGTACATAGGTACATGTGTGTATATAAAAGATATGCAAGTATATTTTATATGTTGATCCTTCTCRAAGAATAACTATCTGTTATTCTTTTATTCCAATGTGTTATTGTTATTGCAAAAGGACAGACAGAATTAGGAAGGTAACTTACATCTACGAAAACTAAGCCAAGTTGCATCAMTTTTTCCACACTGCCTTTCAGAGATACTATGACAAGTCAATGCTTCATCAAATAAAAGTAGTTGCTCTGTCAGTAATTAATAAGAGTCATAAATGTTGTTCTTTTTACTCAAAGACTATGCTACTATCTGTGCTACTCATCCTCAACTGTCCTTTACTCCATGTAGCAAGATGGCAACTATCCTCTAAAGCAGACGAGATCCCTGGACATGCATCTTTCTCTTTATTCACTATGAATGAAGCACAAGGTGAGTCATTCAAACCTTGACATTTAAATTTAGATGCTAAATTAAGACACACTCCAAACATSTGCAAAAGCCAGAATAGCTAACAGAAGCCTTGTGTAACAGAGCAACCGAGGACAATTTTTATTGAGTTAAAACACGAGACGAGTCTTATTCCTACCCATCGTAAAGGAAAGGAAAAATAGCTTCAGCAGAGCTGCTAGAGGATGGGACTGTGTGTGATTTACCTTGCAGGGAAATGGCACAAACGCTGCTACAAAACAACGGAAGAAAATTAGGATCCCAAGCTAAGAAAGTCCTGGAAGCTTCATAGAGAGGAACCCAAATTACTGAATTCAATTTTCAATTGCCGAGTTCAATGCATCTGAAAATCTTGCTCAACATTTGCTTTTTAATGACACCTGAGATGGCAGCTGCAGGCACCAAGAAGTCTTTGAACAATTCCTTCTTACCGAAAGGAGGTAGTCCGTAGGTCTGGGTGGTTTGAGGGTAGATGGTGTAAGGTTGGGACTGCTGTAGCGTTTGGTACTGCGTCTGACCGGGATAGGGGCTCATCGTTTCCGACACAGGTACAGAAAGGATATGTGTATATGGCCTTATTTAAAAAAAAAAAAAATAAAACAAAAAAAGCTATTCACATTATGCAGCTTTCAAACTTGCAACCAGATGATATACAGGAAGATGGCTCGGGAAGGACGGAATGAAGTGCCACATGCTCTTGGTGTGATGCCTGCTTTTGCTTTCCAGTCTGCCATGCCCTTCATGTTTGGATGTGCTGCTTCTCCCACTGAAATCTGGGGAAAAGAGCAGGTCCTGGGGCTTCTTCTGGAGGACAGGACATCATCACTTCTTTCAGATTGTGAAGGCAGGGAGGAAGGGAGCACAGGAACTCCCCATTTTCACAGGCATGGGCGGTCGGTCTGTCTAACTCGTCACCAAATCCCCAGGCCAATGTAATTCTTTCAAATGTCAAAACTGCTGCAACAAACGGAGAGGTCACCCAGCASCAAACGCAGGGACTGTGACCTCCTGTACGGTGCAGCGGGAAAAATTACTAAGATCTCCAAACATTGTAAAGGCCAGGGAATCCTATATCCCCCTTGTATTCATTTATGTCCAGTTTGTTCATTTTACACATACTATGGACAAGATTTTGCAAGATGCTGTTCTGTTGGGAATCATATCCAAGGGTTCATGCGTCGCTGGCATCATAATATAACTCCCACTGAAGCCCAAGGTTAGTTCCCACGTGTCACAGTGCCCACACTGAGCACTGAGTTATTGCTGCCCTGCAGATATTAAAGTGTGATTTCCAGCATTACAGGAATACAGGAACATGCATAAAGATCCCTTCCAAGAGGTGAATTACAGATTTTAGAAAGAGCTGTTCAACTTACTTTGCAGAATACATTTGTGAGGTATAATCATTTGATGACCTTGGAATATAATCAGTGCATGTCATAACTGAAAAAAAAGTAGATTGTATAAGTATACACAAGAAGATTTCCAAAGAAAACAACAAATAATGACAATCAAATATCAGCATACATCATTCATTTTAAGATACTATATTTATAAAGACTTTTAAGTGCTACAACTATGTGATTTAAAGTATATTATCAGAAAATGCATGTTAAAATAGCACAAAAACAATGCTATCCTCATAACTGAGCAGTTAAATTTTTCCCCAATATTTTCCTTCATTTTGCAACAGTGAGCTTCTCTTTAGTAGCTGGTGTGATTGGCCTTGGCCTCCCCAAAGACAACACATCCCAGCAAATCTGCATCTTCAAGCTGACAGCTAGAGCAGCAAAGGATTATGAGGAGCTGATGGAACTTGTGCTTGGGCTTGCAAAGCAACCAGAGCAGTGGAAGAAACCAGAAAAGCGGGTGGGAGCAAACAGCCTGGGGGGGATACTTACTCTCACTCGACATGGGAAGGTTTGGAGCGAGGCTTGAAGATTCGGGTTTCTGATCGCTGACCTCTGTGCTGCTCACGTGGCTGAGGGGATAACGAGAGGCTACTCGTTAGCATTACAACATCTCACACATCTCTGTGCATCCTCACCCCAGGTTTTGGCCCTCCTAGCAGAGGCAGAACTCACTGGTAACAAGTCAGCTATGTCCTGGTGCCCTGCACCAGCCCAGACACCCTTCAGGTCCTCCCCGGGAAGAGCCACCGTTTCTGTGCTGACCGAGCACAGAAACCGCTCAGTTGCTTTTGCTGCGCTGAGGAGGGACCCAGCAAGCCCCACATATGGTGGCCAGGGTGGGCTACGAGCAGGCACTCCCCCTCTCAGCAGCAGTTAGTTACCACCCTGGCGCCTTCACCTCGTAAAACTGTGCTCTGGGCACCTGTGCTTCATTCTAATGGTCTCAACAACTATGGTCTCAACAACAATGATTCTATGATTCCATGCCACCCAGTTCAAAGACGTCCAAATTCTGTATGATTATTATAATGCACGGACGGGGAAGCTGCACCATGAACTTCTACAGGATCCCACCTGCCTGGGGTGCCCCCAGCTCCGTTAGAGTCAGGGTCATCTGATGATCCAGCCAGGATCATTTCACCTGTACGACTGATCTCAGCCCACACAGCCTAGAAGRGAAGCTTATAGCTCTAGCTTATAGACAGCTAACGACTGTCAAAGAAAAAAATCTTTCAACAGGAAATCTTTCTTCAGGAGTATATGTCCTATGTTATATTAAAAAATACAATYAAAAAGAGAATAAGCCCTTTCTTTATATATAATTCTCTGCAGCCCCTTTTGTAAGGCTTTACTATCAAAAGGACTGATTAATATTTTGTATTCMGAATTTAATCTCCAAATTACCAAAGAGGTTTGCTCAGTTTCTGCAAAAAATATGATCCCCAAGATTCTAAAAAGGGAAGCTTACCATCAAAACAGGACATACATAACTGTTGCACACTAAAATCCAATTCAGAATTACACACCTTAAGCTTTGTTCTCTGGATTCCTGCATCTTGGCTTTTTTCACCTGCAAATAAAATACAGTCAGAGACAAAACTGGAGACAATTGTCCTTGATATAATCTATGCACACAAATTTCAGGCTCCCATTAGCAGATAATTGCTGGTTACTACAGGGTTCCCATCAATGTGTAAATRCAGCAAGCTTTGCTTTGGACTCCAGAGTTAACCAGGTCCTTCAGATCCAAACAGGCCTTTCTTAATTAGAAGGCTGCTAGAGCTGGATGCATTAGCAAAACTGCCGTGGTTTTAAAATAAATAACAGATGCTGGGATATACAGCTTCAGAACTTTGATAAGGGCTGTTCTACGGAAACTGAATTCAAGAGCCATGAATTWTAAGAAAATCCTATTCTGCATGGAACAAATTCAACTGCTATAAACTTGGCTCCACGATCCTGCTCTATTTAACGTTTCTAAAGATAGGCACTTGAAGAGGCTTTTCTGTTCACATCAATACCAAATTAGCAGTTCTGATTTTAATTTCTAAACCCACTATAGTATTTATTGTATCCCTGTGTTTGGCCAGATGGCTCTGCTCCTGCAGAGTATTCCCACAGAAAAACATTGTCCTGAAYACAAATTCAGTTTCTTGCTTCCAGGCTACAAATACGACTTAAATCCCGGGCTGGAAGAAAGGATTCGTTATTGCACGCTGGAGCCTTTTGAGCAAGATATTCCTGTCATCTATTGTATTTTTCCACCCTTCCATCCATCCTTCCATCCCCTGCATCTTCCATGGAGTTCACAGCATCTCTTTAAATTGCACAGAAGTGACTCATATGCCAGAAAAAGCAGCATCAGACAGCTTCAAACCTCAGCTATTTCGAGGCAACAGAGCCAAAATTAATTTAGAGTTGGCAGACTGAATGCGAGTTTGCACAAGCAGCACGGGAAGCAGCGCAAGGCTGCCATTTCGAGTCAGGTATTCCCCAACCTTTGATGCCTTCAACTGGACAGCTTTTTTAACAGGGAAGACTGGACAMGAAAGCAGCTCAACTAAAACCAGCAAAGAAGCACAAGGAGGGGGCAATTTTATGAAAACTTTCACTGTGCTCAGAATGAAAAACAGGAAGAAAAGTACAGCTGTCCCCCAAACACCTCCTGATGGCCAGGATTTCAAAACAAATCCCTGCCCTATGCTCTAGATGTCCTCTCTCTGCCACCACCATGGCCACCGGCCACCACCCATTCCTTAAATGAGTTTTGCTTTAACTCAAGAGCAAATTTTAGAGAAATGTGAGTAAATATCAGGGAAGAACAACCTCCTTGAGAGAATTCACATCTAAGGTGACTGCCCCACAGGTGGAAGACTCTTGTTGCGCAGCAGAAGTGAAGTGACTGTTTAGAAAAACAGAAAACCACCACAACTTACCCCAAAAGGAACTGAAAGATGTGGCGAGGCAAATTTTAGCCTTAAGATCAGACATTATCTCACTAAACAAGAAGTTTGTGCTTCACTAGAGCGAAAAGTACTTTTAGTAACATACAGCTCTTCTCAATCTCATTATTTCATTATGAGGTTTTTTTTTTTGAATTAAAGTGGCACCTTCTATCTGATCCCTGCTCTCAATCCTGCATCTATTTCTATTTTCTAAGACTATGCTCTACTTGTAAACTTTTCCGTTCTAATTCACATCTGAAGAGAGAAAAAAAACAGTTAAAAATAGGGATAAAAATGAAATGTCTCTAAAGTTTCTTGTTACTGTATTGGGTAAATGAGAAATTTAGCATTCATTTAGAAATCATATGTTGTGCAAACATGGACCACAACAACATAAGAGAGTGACCTGGATTTTTTTTTCTCTCCTTTTTAGGYAAAAAATATTTAATAGAGAGACTGAAAAGTTCTGTAAAGAGTTCCCTCCTGGATTCAGTTATCAACAGTTTGCAATAAATGTTATTTTCTCAAAGTAATACACTAATTCTATTGCCATGATCAAAACAAGCAAAAAAATCATTTCAGGAAGAAAATCAAGTTTGTGTGATGCAGAACTACTAAGTAGAAATGATTTTGCAAAGCTGATTTATCTTCTCTATTCTCATTTGCAAAGTTAATTGGTTCCAAGAAAGGTCTCGTTCCAAAAAAAGACAATTCTTGTCATTCTCTCCTGCAAAAACGTCCAAGTATATTCAAAATATCACATCATTTAACAGTTGTAATAATAGTGTCTCATACTCTGCCTCAGAATCCCTCGATACCTGATTCTGAACAGCAAGCTGCAAGACAACCTTTGGCAGAATATTACAGAATAAGGGGCTTGTAGAGGATGTTTTCACTAACCAARAGAGTTCTGCCCTACCTTGCATCCTGAAGAACAAAGGTTTATAGAGACAGCAAGATTTCCTTTAAATCCCCCAAATACCTGCAGTTCAAATTCTACTTTTTTGCTGGTTAGTCCCACAGATGTAYGTGAGTCTTCACACACAAGACATAACTTGCATGTTGTGTAATGGTTTTTTTTTCAGTAATTTGAGATTTATCTTTGCAGTCATGAGTCATAAAAATGCATAAAAATGCATAAATGAAGTTAAAATGTACTGTCTACAAGAGCCTCCAAAGTTCTCCAGTGTGGACACTTCCAAATTTCTCTCAGCAGGCTACTGTTTTCATGTGCACTTAAAAATATCTCCAACAATGAGAATAAGCTTCATCCTCGGACTAATATAAGAATGTGTTATGCTCGCCTCGGGTTTAATTTGGAATATAATTATTAAGAACTTTGTGTTTGAGCTTCTTGCTTAAATACTTCACCGTGACAAATGTTTTAACTGYGTATCATAATGTATTAATGTTGTTCTCCAATCTTATGGGACATTAAATTTTACACTTAAATATAATTAATAGTTTATTCATCACTATATTCAAATATTTAAAATCTCCGGACAGCAATTTTAATATAAAACATACTTCTCTATTTGAATAGACTTCTAAATTAAGGAATTTAAAACCTGTTTTCCAGCAGTGGAGAAGATGTTATGAGATGTTATGCCCGAGATCACTGCATCTTTTAAAGACCCTGAGCACAAGAAGTAGAGAAGATTTTATGTGTTATAATAACCAATTTCCTGATCCTGTCTTAGAATGATTTTTGCTCAAAGACACTTGAATTTTTTTTTAAGAAAAATAAATCATTATTAAGCACGATTTTAAACGGAAACATAGAGTTTAAACATACCTACCTATTCCTCTTGCCACTATTATCCATACTATCACAGTAAATCAATTGTACATTTTCCTGAAAGCAAAACATTTCTTTATACTTGTCTATTTATTTAGCTAGAGACAAAAAAAAATACAAGTGTTATTTTCTAATATTAATGAAAATAACCAAGTGGAACTCGTGAGGTCTCCAGCTGGTTTTATGTGCTTGGTTTTAGTGTTTTTCAATGTACTCACTGGCTGCTCGGGCAAGTCTTGTGGCTCTTCCATGGGTGTTAGTGTGGTGATGCTGCAGTGATGTGAATGCGCGTGCTCCTCAGCAGTCTCCAAAGCCTGTCAAGAAAAGGTGTTCATAGCTTTATGTACCCCCGGCCAYACTTATCATTTAGGCTATCGGGGGACATTAATTGTTATGTATTCCACCCACCAGCTTTCTAAACTCGTGCTGCCCTCTCCCAAGGAACAGACGAAATTCATACATGGAAAGACTTCATAAACAAGGGATTTAGCTTTAAGCTTCAAGACATAAACAGACTTTTTTGCGCACATGGTACATTGCTCCATCATTTACTTGTGCCACACAAGCCACCGAAGCTAATGTATCCATCAAACACGTGCACAAAGATTTTAAAGGCACTTTAAACGATCAAGTCAGGTCTACTAGGTCAGTAAACAGAGTGATTCAGTCTAACCTGTTTTAATTTAGATCATTTATATAACAAAAAAGAAATCAGGACAAGGGTCTACACCTAAATGTATTTACAAGCAGTGCTGTTTATTGTCAAGTCTACAAAGCTTGCTTGTTCTTTTGATTGCACCTCTCAGAAAGAAAAATTTGAGGAATATTTCCTTCTAAAATAATAGTAAAAAAGCAAATAATTCAACTGCAATCAACACAGAGTTCCTATATACTGTATTAAATTGCTGCTAGAGCCCGGCAAAACCACAAGAAGGAAATTCTGCAGAAACTGCTTTGAGAACCTTCTTAATTTCTGGGGTCTGAGGAGCATCAGCATCACTTCCAGCACCACCTTCTCCAAGCTCCAGATGGGAGCATTGCTACGTGAAGGAACTCAAGCGAAGAGGGGCAAAGACCTGTGTGGATGGTAAGGAGCTGTCGGGAGAACCTGAAGAACAAAAGAGAGCGGACATAATGTGGAAGAAGGGCCAGGACACAGGGCAGGAATACGGGAATGTTGCCAGAGAATGCAAGGATGCAGCGAGGAAGGCCAACGCTTGTGTGGAATTAGAGTCAGCAAGAGATGTCAMGGACAACAGCAAAGAAGCAAARGCTTCTGCAAATACATGAGCAGCGACGGGAAGACTAGGGAAAAATGTGGGCCCGCTGCTGAATGGGGTGGGTGCGCCATAAACCACAGAGCCTGGACACAGCAGAGAACACCGGGAAAGAGGAAGACTTTCTGCTGCTTGAGGAGGATGGGGTTAGGGATCACTTAGGCAAACTGGCCACCCAAAAAAATCTATGGGCCTGGATGGGATGCATGCAAGAGTGCTGAGGGAAGTGTTAGGAGTTGTTGCTCAGCTGCTCTCCATCAWCTTCGAGAGGTCCTGGAGAGCAGGGGAGGTGCCGGAGGACTGGAAGAAACCGCCATCACTGCAGTCTTCCAAAAGGGCTAGAGGGAGTGGCCGGGCAACTACAGGCCAGTCAGCTTCACCTCTGTCCCTGGAAAGGTGATGGAGCAGCTCCTCCTAGAGAGCATCTCTAGGCATATGAAGGAGAAGCAAGTGATCAGGAGTAGTCGGCATGGTTTCACCAAGGGGAAGTTGTGTTTGAACAACCTGGTAGCCTTCTGTGATGGGATGACATGGGGAACGGAGGAGGGGAGAGCCATGAATGTTGTCTACCTTGACCTCAGTAAGGCTTTCAACACCATCTCCCATAACATGCTTGTGAGGAAGCTCCGGGAGTGTGGACTGGATGGGTGGACAGTGAGGTGGATCGAGAACTGACCAAACCTGGAGCACCTGGGGCAGCTCTGTGCTCCCCGGGACAAGAGGAACATGGAGCTTCTAGAGGGGCCAGCGCAGAGCAACAAGGATGAGGAAGGGACTGGAGCATCTGTTGTGTGAGGAGAGACTGAGCGAGYGGGGCCTGTTTAGCCTGGGGAAGGTTGAGAGGGGATCCTACCAATACCTAGAGGAGGATGTAAAGAGGAGGGGACCAAACTCTTCCCAGTGGTGGCCAGTGACAGGACAGGGGGCAACGGGTGTAAACTGAAAGTCAGGCAGTTCCCTCTCCATGTGAGGTGGAACTTGTTTGGGGTGAGGGTGCCCGAGCCCTGGCCCAGACTGCCCAGGGAGGCTCCTGCTCTGGAGATCTCCCAACCCACCTGGATGTGCCCGGGTGCCCTGTGCGCTGGGTATCCCTGCTGGAGCAGGGGTTGGACTGGGTGATCCCTAGAGGTCCCTTCCAACCGCAACCACTCTGTAATTCTGTGATTTCTACCACTCTACAGATAAAGGCATGAGTCCTCTGGGATTTCTACCTCCGTCTGACCAAAATAAAGWATAAGTCTTCCTCCAGCTGCTCTTCTCTTGTTCTCTTCTTTGAGAGCCAGCATATCAAAAAGGAAAATCCTTCAAACACACTCCATCTCCATCAGGTTGCATGCAGTGCTAGGTCTCTCCTCGCCCATTCAAACACTCAAGCACCTTCACATTACAAAGTTGTCCCCAAGATCAGTGGCAAGACCAGGTAACCAGTTGACTTTACAGCATCCTGAAAACCACAGCTACTTTTCTTCCTCTTGACGGACCTACTTATAACTCTTCGTCTCCATAGCCAGCCTGCTCCTAAAGCAAACAAGCTACATAGGGCCACACACCTTGGAGGCTGCAGTAATTTTCTGCTATCCTTGAAAACAGCAAGGATTCGCTTTCTCTTATCAGAGGGAAAAATAGAGGCTCTGTAAAGAGAGGGATCTGCTGTGCCCGACTGAAACGTTCTTCAGGGTTCAGCATCTTCCAAGGTTACCCCTCTCTATCTGGCTGCTTCCCACGACCATCTAAACTGCACATCGACAATTCACAGTATGTCTCAATTAACTCAATTTCTTTTAAAATGACCCAACAAGCAGTAAACGCAAGGCAGTATCCGCAGCAGGTGCCACTAGCATTCCAGTTTCTCCTCCAAGTCTTAACCATAGCTTTATTTTAAACACAAAAGCTTCTTTTTTACTTTTACAGAATAATCTAGAATAGTAAAGATCAAAGAGAAACTATGCCATTCAAAGGCTACGGATAGGAGGATCTGAAGAAGGCTCCAATTTTGACYCCAGCAAGTTCCATCCTTTGCTCTTGGACCTGCCTCAGACAAAAGCCAAAACTAAATTCTTCTACAAAAGATCTCAAATCAAAATTTTAAGTAGTTAGTAGTGCTGTTAAATGCTAAGTAGTAAAGTCCATTCCACATATTCTCTTATATTTTTTAGTAGCTCTTTCATTCATTACTGACTTCTCACAAATAGAACTAGAAAACCAGGAAGACTGTAAGATAYCTGCCCCCTGCTTATAAATTAAATTACACTTGCCAACAAAATCCTCCTTAGCAAACGAGTAGCGCATCTTCAAGCACCCAGAAGCAAAACCTGACCTTCCAAATGAATGACAGCAGAATAGGTATAACCTCTTGCCAGCATGAAGAGCAAAAAATTGACTTCCAGAGGCTTCACGCTTCCTTCTGGAGCTTACTCAGACTTTCAGAAACAGCAGGTTTGGCAGAGGACTTCTCGCAAAGATACAATTCTGCTTTCTACACCACGAATGAGCGAAGCTGCCACTGCTGATGGAGGAGCTCCTGCCTTGGCTGGACCTCCCGCTGCTCTTGCTCCCTTGACAGCCCTTCCAAAGTGTGTGGGCAAGCAGCTGTCTGGATCTGGGACTTATCTTGCTCTGGAGTGGGGAGGAATCCACCGAAAATCAACTTTTCCCAAGTTATTCCAACTGCCGCAGAGCCGCAGGCTCAGATGGAGCCAACAGGATGGAGAACAGGAAGGAACGAGACAGGGGGAGCGCAGGATCGCCTGCTCCAGCAACAGCCTCTCTAGCCCTCGTTTAACACATTTAACATCTACTCACTTTTCCCTTTCGCCAAAAGGAGAACACAAAAAAGCCACCGAGAGGCACACAGCACGCCTGCCTTTCAGTCCATGCCACCCAAGCCACCACCAACTGTCCTGCAGAGCAAACACGAGCCGTGGCTGGTGTCCCTCGAACCTCGCGCGGGCTCCTGCGGGGCGCGCCGGGAACAGCTCCAGCGCCGCTCCGGGGCGGCCCGAACAGAGCCGGCCACGCGCCGGGCTCGCTCGAGCGAGCGCAGCCCTTCACGTGAGGAGGACAGAGGGCACGCTGCTCCGCTGCGCTTCCCCAAGCCGCCTAATCCCGGCGGGCCGGGCTCCGCACACGTGCGCGCGGGACGCGCTCCTCCTGGATCCTGCCCTTCCCGGGGCTCCTCCCCGCGTCATCTCCCTCAGCACAGCGCTCTCCCAGAGCTCAAATGTCAAAAAACATTACAAAACGAAGGGAAACAACGGTGAGCTTCTGCACTGCCTCCCAACTGCCCAGGTGACAGATATTTGTAAACGTCGGTACAAATCAAGGCACCGGAGCTATCGATAAGCTTAATCTTACCGCATCTATCCCATTTTAAGCCCACAAGCAACCATGCCGTAAATGGGATATACATCCTAGAAAAGGGGATCCGAGAGACCCGTGGCTCCCCTCGCGGCCCTCCTCGCTGCCCTGTTCCCAGATGCGAATGGAGCGGCGAACCGGAGCCACCTTCGCTCCTCCCTCCCAAAACCGTGGCGCCTCGAGGCTTGGGCACCCCAACAGGGCACATTGGAGCGGTTAGGAGYCCTACGGACAGCAGCGGGAAGGACAGGGGTTCGTTGGTCACTGTATAATTTGAGGCGAGTCTGAAGGGTAGATCCCGACAGTCAGGAGAACCTCAACRGGCCACTGAGGTAATTAATGGGAAAAACCTGTAAAACACATTACTAAATGTGAGAAAAGCCATCAAAAGGGTTGCTTTGAGGGGAGAAAAGAAAGCTTGAGAAAAACTAGAGATTAGAGCTTTAAAAAGAGAGAATTGCTGCACTTTTTCCCTTTATGCCTTTTGTTGTTTTCCTGTGGAACTGTCCTCAGGAAGTGACTTAATAAAACCATCAGTTTTCTCCTTCTGCTAAATAATTTACCTTGTAATATCAAAGAACCCGAATACAGCATCACCGATATTTTAATCTAGACTTGTTCTGAATAGTTTAATTCCTAGTTTAATTCCAACCTACTCAAAAGCAATGTAAAATAACAGG